CTTTCTTCTCTTCTTCTTCTTCTTCTTCTTCTCCTTCTCCTTCTCCTTCTCCTTCTCCTTCTCCTTCTTCTTCTTCTTCTTTTTCTTTTTCTTTTTCTTTTTCTTTTTCTTTTTCTTTTCTTTTTCTTTTCTTTTCTTTTTCTTTTTCGTCTTCTTCGTCTTCGTCTTCGTCTTCGTCTTCGTCTTCTTCGTTTCGTCTTCGTCTTCGTCTTCGTCTTCGTCTTCGTCTTCGTCTTCGTCTTCGTCTTCGTCTTCGTCTTCGTCTTCGTGCTTGCGTCTTCGTCCTTCGTCTTCGTCTTCGTCTTCGTCTTCGTCTTCGTCTTCGTCTTCGTCTTTCGTCTTCGTCTTCGTCTTCGTCTTCGTCTTCGTCTTCGTTTCGTCTTCGTCTTCGTCTTCGTCTTCGTCTTCGTCTTCGCTCGTCTTTCGTCTTCGTCTTCCGTCTTCGTCTTCGTCTCGTCTCGTCTTCGTCTCGTCTTGCGTCTTCGTCTTCGTCTTCGTCTTCGTTCTTCGTCTTCGTGCTTCGTCTTCGTACTTCGTAAGAAGGAGAAGAAGAAGGAGAAGAAGAAGAAGAAGAAGAAGAAGAATAAGAAAAAAGAATGAGACGACTAAAAAAGAAGGAGAAGAAAAAGTAGGAGGAGGAGGAGGAGGAGGATGAAGAGGAGGAGGAGGGGATGAAGAGGAGGAGGAGGGGGATGAAGAGAAGGATGAGAGAAGGAAAACGAAAAAAAGAAAAAGCGGAAGAAGATGACGAAGAAGAAAAAGAAGAGGAAGACGAAGAGGACGAGCAACAACAACAACACATAAAGAAGAGATGTCACAGACTAACGGATATCCGTTCTTGCCTTGACGATTAAATTGCAAAGTGCTGCCATCTGTAGTAGGAAACCCCGATATTTCTAGGTTTACTCGCCAAGATGGCAGGTGTTGTCGAAGTGGTCGTTGTAGGGTCCTGCAATACTGATTTAATCACTTACACTGCGCGCTTTCCTAATCCAGGAGAGACAATTCACGGGCATTCATTTTCTATCGGTTTTGGAGGAAAAGGTGCAAATCAGGCTGTCTGTGCTGCACGGCTGGGTGCGAGCACAGCAATGATCGGAAAAGTTGGTAATGATACGTTTGGCAATGACACAACGAAGAATTTCCAAAACAACAACATTAACATTGACCACTTGGGCATGGAGGACGGTACGTCGACTGGAACGGCCGTGATCACGGTCGATGAGTCTGGGCAAAATTCAATTGTAATCGTCAATGGCGCCAACTCGTTACTGAGCAAATCTGATGTTAGTGCCGCCGAGCCTATGATAGCCAGAGCAAAGATCCTCGTTTGTCAACTAGAGGTAGAGCCCGAAGTTTCAATCGCTGCAATGAAGTTAGCCAGACAGCATAACGTGATGACACTGTTCAATCCAGCTCCGGCTAGGGCCAACTTGCCGCCTGATGCGTGGACCCTTTGCGACGTGTTCTGCCCAAACGAAGCAGAGGCGGAGATGTTTGCTGGAATGCCAGTCAAAGCCAAGGAGGATGCCGAGAAAGCGAGCCTGTTTTTCCTTGACAAGGGATGCAAGATCGTAATAATTACGCTGGGAGACAAGGGAGCAGTATACGTGACACAAGAGAACCGCACCCCAGTACATGTTCCTTGTAGGGTCACCAAGGTAGTGGATACCACTGGTGCGGGAGATGCATTTGCAGGTGCTCTTGCATACTACATGGCATGTCACCCAGGCCTTGCCATCGGCCAGGTGATCCGCCGCAGCTGCGAGATTGCTAGGATGAGTGTCCAGCATTCAGGAACACAGAACAGCTACCCTGTTAGGCAGCAGATTCCAGACGAATTGTTTTTATAATCGTCACACGGTTATACACACACATTGACCACAACAAGCACTGCACGAAGGGTCGTTGTCGTAACAGGTACTACAGATATGTACCCGAGGTAGTTTAGGTTGTTTAGTTATCGTTTATATTTTTATATGAGTATGTTTGGGTTAGGTTAGGGTATAGGGTACACTTCTGTAGTACAAGTCTGGTACACTTTTGTTACATATATGTACCTCGGTACCTCGGGTCACATATCTGTAGTACCCTGTTACGACAACGACCCCTTGAGCACAAGCACTATACGGGTACTACATTTATGATTACCTACCTACCTACCTATATATCTACATTATGATTATTTTTTAAAGAATGTTTATAATTTGTTATAATTATCATAAAAATAATTTATCTATAAGATTGCTAGGTTTGAAATGGCAAGGGGGTCCGGGTGCACGCCCCCAGAGAAATTTTTTGAAAAAAAGAAATTTTGTGCATACTATAAGCTATATATTTCTATTTTAGTTCAAATAAAGTGTAGTTTAATTATTGAAGGAAGAACAGTGATTTTCGTCAGCGAGGCGGTGTTTTGATAAATTTATGTGTGGCGGGCAGAGAATTTGTGTCAATGCAGGGAGACAGTGCTATGAATAAATTTATGCAGTAAATAATGTTATTAAATTTATACAATACTAATTGACAATGTGCTTTATGTTATCATGTCCTTCTTGGTAACGTGTATCCTTGGTGCATAGCTTGTTGAAAATTGGCACTATCACTTGTTTAATGAAACCCATTTCTAGTATTCAAGTATCTGAGTCTGATCACTGCTTTTGCCATATTGCCTTCGTAGGATACATTTCAGCTATTTTGTTTCTGTTGTTGGTAATACTCTTCTGTTATTTATTTATTTATTTTCATTTAATGACGACATTAGTAATGGGATATATGATCACGGGCTTGCAAACTCCTCACCATCAGTGCAATGATAAAAATAATAATAAAAGAAAATCAAGTTTATTGTAAACTGTAACTTCTCTACTCAGTCAGAGTGTCAATAAGTAACTTGGCTTTTCTTCAGGTGATTCAGTTTAGTGATATAGCAGCCGTTCGATGGCGCCACTATCAGCGCGTGGCTCGACGATAGAGAAGTCTGAAAACGTGTATTTATCGTCTTGTAAGTTTATCTGCTCTGTTATTAATGTAATTTAATATTTCTTGCTTGTAAGTGAATGTACGAGCAAATTCATATATTCATATCCTGTGGTTTTACTGGGCAATCGAAATATATAACTTGAAGCAGTTTAGCAATGCAATGACATGTCGAATGTGTCTGAGGGTTGAGTGTTCGTCATAACATATAATACATAACATAACATAATATAATATAACATAACATACATAACATACATAACATAACATAACATAACATAACATAACATAATACATAACATATAATACTGTCATTACTGATACTGATAGTGATACTGATAGTGATGGCCATACTGTCAAGGATAGAGAACATGGGTCCCAATAAAACCAATGTCATTTACATCAATATAAATATAATATTACATCAATATAATAGGTTAGGGTTATGGTTAGGGTTAGGGTTAGGATTGGGGTTAGGGTTAGAGTTAGGGTTAGGGTTAGGTTTAGGCACATTGCTTTTATTGGGACCCATGTTCTCTATCCTTGGGCCGTGATACTGATAGCCTAAGCGTTCAAATTCAAATTCAAATAGAGTTTATTGCACGAATAATCGCAGATCATACAGGAAAATACTGAAATAGGCTACAAACTACAATAAAACAAGTTCCTAGGCTAATAGTAATAAAAACGAGAGAAACGATGTGTCTCGACTGACATGACTTGCATGACACAATGTGTCAATGTTACATCATAATACATGATAATATATATTTTTAACCAAAAATCATTTCTAACCAAAAAAAACAACAGTTCAAACTAGTGTAATGAAATTCAAACTCCTAAACTACACCGAACGAGATTCATGTGAGTAGACTCGGAGCTCTGGTAGACTATCGCGGTAAGTATCGCGTGGTATCGGTTGCCGCAGATAGTAACGTTTGGTATCGAAACTGTAGGCGCCCTGAGTTCAGATGTAGGACTAGTAAAGCCCGACTGTTGGTCTAAACCTCTCTGTATTTTAAATTTTAGCTTGGGATATGTGGTGTGATTTAATATATTATTTGTATATCTCAGCATTTATGTTTTGGGTGGATCTTGTCGTAGCTTGAATGAAACTTCGATAAAGTTTGATAGTTCGAGGAGATCGGCCACATGATTTGTGATGAATAACCATTTTATGGATGATTTGCCTAGGAATGGAAAGTGTATAAATTTGTCTTCTATCTTTTTTCTGATGTGGTTGGTGGCAGTGCAGTCATAGAGTAGGTGGAGTTCATCATCTATTGACCCGTTATTGCATTGGGAACAGGATCTAAGATTAGCAGGGATGGATTGGTGACGGCCTTGTTCAATCCTTAGGTTGTGATCGCTAAGCCTTAGTTTGGTTAATGCTCTTCTTGCTTGTTTGGAATATAAAT